TATGAATATGGGAGTATGGTGGTTCTACAGAATAAGCACACTGGACAGTGAACCACAAAGTCAGTGGTTCAAGCCCTTCATCTGCTCTGTGGAGAAAGATGAGGCTTTCTGCTCCAGCAAAGACTTGTAGCCTCTGAAACCCTACACAGGGTTCCTGTGAGTTGGAATCACTTTGTGACACTTAACAACAACATATATGTATATAAGGGGTCCTGGTGGCACAGTGCTTGAATGCTTGGCAACCAAAAGGTGGGGGTTGTTTAAGCCCAGTAACTGTTCTGTGGGAGAAAGATGTGGCAGTCTGTTTCTGTATAGATTACAGCCTTGGAAACTCTATGAGGATATTCTATGCTCGGTCCTACAGGATCGTTATCATTGGATTGAACTTGATGGCATATAACAAAAACAAGAACAAATCTAAAAGCAGTGACTCAACCTGAACCCCAAGAATCCTACTACCAGTGTGTCCTGTCCTTTGAATTCCAGGTTCTTAATGCACAAAGGCAGAGCTAGAATCACACCAAAACCCAAGTATATACCTTGTAGCATCTATTATGACTAACCCAGCAATATGGGAAGAACCACTGGATACTGGAACCATGGTTGAAATAAAACCTTGGTTTGAATAAAATCTCTTGAATGTCCCTGAAAATTTTTGGGTAGTCTGAATTCCTACTGGGAGACATAGAACTGGGGGAATCGATATCCTTGTGGGAAGAGCCAGATCTATGTTGTTTGTTGTTGTTGTGTGCCGTCGAGTTGGTTCCTACTCGTGGTTTCCAAGGCTGTAAATCTGTACTCAAGCAGAAAGCGTCATTTTTCTCTGTGGAGTGGTGTTTCGATTGCAACCACCAATCATGCAGTTAACAGCCCAATAGGTAACTAACTCACAGTGCCACCAAGGTTCTAGATATATGTTGTTGTTGTTAAGTGCTGTTGGATTGGTTACCAAGAAACTGCTAGTGGATTTGAACCACTAACCTTGTGGTTTGAAGTCTAGTGCTAATCCTACCACACCACACTAGGAGTCCAGATATATGGTAGTTAACCAATAAAGAGTGGAGTCTGCTGGCTTCATAGGGTAAGCATAGGGTCAGTGGTTTGAGCCCACCAGCTGCTCAGCAGGAGAAAGATGAGGCTTTCAGTTCCTGCAAAGATTTACAGCCTCTGAAGCCCTATACAGGGTCACCAAGAGTCAGAACCGACTCAGCAGCACATAACAACAACCACCGCCGCCAAGAAATAATCTTATATATTGAAGTTCTTCATTTTAATAAATGGGAATAAGTTTGGGGAATGAAACTTTGCTATTCCTATAGAAGGATAAAGCACTAGACTGCAAAGTCAGTTTGAGGCACTAGGCCAGTGGTTCAAACTCACCAGCTCTTCCTTGGAAACCCTAATCAGGGTCCTATGAGTTGGAACAAACTCAGAAGCACTAAACAACAATAAAAACAGACATTAAATAGCAGGGGTCCTGGAGTGATACTGTAAGGATAAGCACTGGACTGGCTAACTGCAAAGTTGGTGCTTCAAACCCAGCAGCCATTCCTTGGAAACCCTATACAGGGTTGCTACGAGTCAAATTGACTCCATGACACTTAGCAACAACATGAATTAATTAGTCATTCTTCTCTCCAAATGTATATCGGGAGGTTGAGGCCTTTATTATTTATGGAAAGAATTGTAACCTCTTTTTAATCTCACGCTGTGTATTAAATTTAGGTTGGAAGTAACTCTTCACAGAATTTGGTATTTTAGAAAAATATTGAGTATGTTCCTTTTTTAAAATAATGCCAGATGTAGACCCATTAATTTGGGTACTAGTTAATACACTATATTATTTTATGACAAGCAATGCAAACTGAACTGAATACCCTAGAAAATTTAAAAATAATATTATCAAGAATTTTTAGAATTCACTTCATTTTCCACAATAAGCTAATGGAGATTCAAGTGTCTGGTTTTCAGTTACAAAAGAAAGTACTTTAAAGATTATGGTAGAAACTGAAGTCAGTGCTTTTAATACAATCTCCATGGCAACACGGAAGGAGTATGGTCTGTGGACCAAATGAAAACCACAAACTATCAATTTCAGACCCTTGCATTAACTCACCACCAAAAGCCACATTTATATCTTGGTATTTCATCTCTGCTGCAAACACAATCACTTTTGACTTTGCTCCTCAAAAGGGCATCGCCTAAGTCTTACAAACTTAGTATGTTCAATTTTTAAAATTGTTATTATTGTACTTAAGTTCTGAGACAACCATTGACATTGAATTTTTAGGTTGCAGCAGAGAAATTATTGATAGTGAGTGGAAAATGCAAACAGTATAAATAACTTCCCCAAATTTCATTTATAGGTTAACACAAAAATAACTTCATTTGAAAGGTCTCTTACTTTTTCACAAATGAATTACTATGACAAAAAGCAAGTTTAGTTTTAAGTGGGTATTTGATGTTTTATATATGAAAATAAAACCTTATGATCAGAGCATCCTGATCATAAGGTTTTATTTTCATTTTCACTTATTCATTAAGAAAATATCTTCTATAGAAAATGGTACAATAAAAATACAGAAGGACTTTACTGCACTAGTTAAGCCAATTCCTTGCTAATGTGGAGGTCGTTTGCTAAAGAACAAACTGGAAAGAAATACTAAAAGTCTTTGCATTACAAAAATAGGTAACAACAGGTAATGTTTACTTAGTATTTACTACACTCCAGGTACTGCCCTGGACTCTCCACATCAATGGTCTCATTTCATCTTCACAATTATGAAATGTATCCCCATTTGATCGATGGAGCTCAGAGGGGTAATTAGCCCAGCATCTCTAAGTGGAGGAGTCAGAATCAGAGCCTGTCCAACTTTGCACTAACGCCTCTCATAGATTTCTATATTCAGCTGTGAATTTTACTCACAGCGTTTTATGGATTGAATTGTGTCACTAACAAGATGTGTCATTGCCCTAACCCCTGGTACCTATGATTATGACCGTCTTTGAAAATGTTATCTACTAGATTAACATGTGCTCATACCAGACTAGGGTGGACCCTAGTTCCTTCAAGGGGTTTCTTATAAATGAGAAGAGACACAGAGAGATAAAGGAGAAAGTTACCATGTGAAGATGAATCTCTGAGCCAAAGAACATCAAAATTGTCAGAAGCCACTAGAATCTAGAAGAGAGGCATGGGACCTTCAGGACACAGGGCTGCAACTCTGAACTTGGACTTATATCCTTCTGAACTGGGAGACATCTGTGTGCTTATAAACCATCACATTTGTGGTCATTTGTTTTAACAGACCCAGCAAACTAAGACACATAGTAATACCCACAGACCCTCACTCAGTCCTTTTTATTCTAATTTAAATAAATTCCACCAAATTTGGCAATCTGATTACCTAGGATCCCAAATCAAAACCAAACCCTTTGCCATGGAGCTGATTTGGACTCACTGCAAACCCATGTGTTACAGAGTAGAACTGCTCTATGGGTTTTCTTACACGTAATTGTTATGGAAGCAGATTGGCAGGCTTTTCTAATAGGGTGGTGCTGGATGGGTTCTAACCATCTCTAGTAGTAAAGCCAAACAATGATGCCCAGGGACATCAGTATCAAATTAAAAAGGTTGGGAGGAAGACTCCTATAAGCAGGCACAGTAAAGCAGGAAACATTAAAAATATAGCAAGTTGACATAGGAGGTGTAAGTACAAAAGAAAGATAAATGCAGTTTTGGGTGGGAGAGGGTAGAGAAGACAGAAAAGATCATGCTCATTTGTTGGATGTTTACTAAATGCTGGGCATTTGACTTCCATCATTTGTCAATCCCCACACGACCCTGCCACACAGGCTGTACCATGTCCCATGTCAAGGCTGAGAAACATTAAGTGCAAGGTCCACCGTCCAAAGCCACAAAGCTAGATTTGTTGGGTTCTTAACATGGCAAAACACTGCTTTCCTTTTATGGATTAAGAACCCAGGGAAGGAAAGAAAATCTTGGAAAGGTTTCTATAAAAATGGTTACAACCAAAATGTTTTGTGGCATTGAATAGGAGAACTAAACCAGTTCTCTGCAAAAGTCACTCACTCAAAAAAACAAAAACATTTGATAGATAAATGAAGAATTATGATACTTTTTAACTTTAAAATTACAGATCTAATAAATACTGCAAATTTAGAAATTCCTGAATTTAGAAATCTATAAGCTCAGATTGTGGTATTTAATAGGAGAGTCTCATTTTATGTCCTGTTTTTAATCATGTGGCATTCTTTTATAAACTATCTATATGGCGATTTAATTAGTGAACATTCACAGCAAATTCAAGTCATTATGCTGAGAAATTGAGAGTGAATGCCATTTGAAAGGCTGAGAATTTTACAACACACAAATATGCATGTGTGCTTGCCTGTGTATATACACACATGCTTTCTGATCAGCCACAAACTCTTTCAGAAGCAACATCAATTACATAGAAGGGCTGGGGATTCATTCCATTATACACCAAATTTTTTGTATTTTTTTGTTTCTGGCATCCCTGATTGCCTAAAGATGGCTGTAAACAAAGAAACGGCAGTAAAAAAGCTCAGAAAGAATGAGTTACTCCAAGTAGTACATATAATACATCTGTTCTAGAGCTGATTAAAAAAAGTTAATTAATAAGGGAACTCTGGTGTTCTTGTAAGAAGCTCTGCTGTAGACTAATCAGCTGTCAACCGAAAGGTCAATAGTTTGAATCCACCCAATGGCTCCATGTGGCAGTCTGCTTCTGAAAATATTTACAACCATGGAAGCACCAAAGGGCACTTCCAGTCTGTTTTACAGGGGCACTGAGTCGGATGCTGAAAATGGGCACTTGGTTCATTCCTGATGCTTCTCAGGAAGCACGTTATCCTCTTGAACTCTGCTACATAAACACTGCTTTCGTGCATGCCCTCCCAACTCCCCATGTGACCCCCCCACCCAGGTGTAAGCCCTAGTGCCCACTTAGATATGATTACCCCTGATGCAGCCCTGCCATCGGCGTCTCTCTCAAGGGAAAGAGCTTGGGGTAGACAATGGTAAACATGGGCTCACTGCACCGATGACAGTGCCCCAGGGGGCAGTGCAACAGCTCCAGAAAACTTCTGGGGAGCGAGAACGGAGACAGAAAGTTCAAATCTGAAAGAGACGAGAAAAGCAGGCACTTGAGTCAAAATTTAGGTTTCCTCAAACCCTGGTGTAGATCTCCTAAAATATTTCTCTTGCTCATGTAAGCTCCATATGGAAAATTCGGATCTAATAAGTATAAATAAAAATCTAACATCATTTAGAATGAAAGATTGTTTTTTCATTTTTGATACAAAAATAAAACCTAAATATACTTAAACCAGAAACTGTCCTATGTAAAGGCTAGAAAAAACTAAGATCAAACATTCTTCAAGATCAAAGATCAAAAAGGCATCAATTTACCTAGAGAGGGTTTTGTAAACCTCTAGGAAACCTTATACAGGGTCGCTATGGGTCGGAATCGACTCGACGGCACTTAACAACAACAACAACAACAATGAGAGACTGAGAACAAAAAAAGGGCTGGGCCTGAAGACTTAACTGACTTTCCTTATGTCCTTCGCTAAATCCACTGAGCATTTAGTATTTGTTAAGCATCAATTGAGGTAAATCGTAACTATGACAAGAGCGAAAATGGGGAACAACTGAAAGGAAACAAGGAAAATGAAAAAGAATTAAAGCAAGTCTTTCCTCATCCCATTCCCACGAGCTGTCATTAATAAAAACACAGTGCTCTCTTCCCAACTTTATCTGAGCATTAAACATGAAAGACAGGAAAACATCCCAGTGGTCTAGCCCAAACTAGGCAAGGAAATAGTCATAATGAGGCGGAATTGAAAAATAATTTGACTCATCTTTGGGAAAGAAATGCAAATAATTTCTTATCATTTGTATTTAGTTGGATCAATAACCATGTATCAGAATGTAATTTATTTATAAGAGAATAATTATGAAATTTTGTTTAGTTTAAAAAAAATAACAAGGTACAACATTGTACTAGACATTCCTGGAAAGTTAAGGTGAGATGATTTTGTCTGACCCTTTTTTTTAAAGTAAAGACAAAACATTTAGCAGTTTTTGAAAATCCTGAAATGTCATTTTCTTATTAATATTTGCTAGTGTGGTCTTAAAAACATCACAATGTCTATGAAATGTACACAATGCAATTCCTTTCCAAAACAAGAGTTGTCAGGTAACATTGTCAAAGCCTCCTGGTATTTATTTTCCTTTGAGAATAAATATTTCTCAGATGTGAGGAGGCTGCAAGGCAAAAACTCCAAATTTGCTTTAGGAATAAAACCTTTCCAAGTAATTCCTACTGAACAAAGTCCCTATGACAACCTCTTGCTTAAACCAAACATACTTCCAAACACCCATTTCCTTCATCTAAACCATATCGTTTAACTTTTAGCCACCGTTCTTTGTAACTGAAGATGATCATTTAATTGATGCTTCTCTGTCTGTAGAGGGTACAAAAAGCATCGATGCTGATATGATATTAAAACCTATTAAGAATATAAAAAGACGTGCTACCTTTTAGAAACTGGTGATAGGTGCGATACAAACTCCTCATGGCTAACTCTTGCAGAGGCAGCACGTGATCCTTCTCTGTCCCTATGGACTTCACCTCCGCTGGGAGGAAAACGGTTAGTTGCCCCGATGAAAAGGAAAGCAATTTCATCTCTGAAACTTGAATGGGAGCACCACAGCTGCAGAGAAACACATGTTCACAGTAGTTTTAGCAAAAAGGAAACGTCTATGTATGTCAGCAGCAAGGACTTAGTCAAAATACATATTTAGAAATTCAAGAGACTGTAATGATTTGTTAGAACCCTGTCCAAAGTGTAACAGATGTGATTCCAAATTCCGTAATAAAGCCTAGCAAAGAAATCTAAGCTCATCAGTTGGAATTTGGCGAAATAGTTGCCAAGGCCCAGTCATATAGAGCAAGGACAAAATTTAAGGGAATTTTCCTTCATAGAAGTACACAATATGCTCTTTAAACTCTATTTTCCCTCATTCCATTATCCTCTTCAAGTTTATGTTTATTGAAATTTGTAAAATTACAAGGCAAAAAGAATTCTGTTGAGTTACAGTAGAATTTTTGTATACAAAAAACTTTAAACTACAAAGTGAATAGATTTTTAATGGTATAAGATTATTTTACTGGATCCTACTATAAACTTGTGGAGAAAACATTCTTGGCAATGTCTGAACAAGTGAAGTCATTCTCCACTCCCTCCGCAACTTGTACCCAGAAAGCAGAGCTGTCCATGTCACTTTGGCTGAGGGGTTACCAAAACTTTAGCTGTAAGTTTCTTTTTCTTTCCTATCTGAGGCCACCAGGTTAACCAAAGCCTTAACCTTTTCCTTCTTTAATTAAAAACAAGTGCCAATAAGACCTTAAGTGTCCAAACACAATATTAGATAAGATCTCGAGCCTTGGCTAGAAACAGGCAATGAAGAAAAGGGAACAGGACCAGAGGCCAAAGTCCTCGGTTCATCTGTGCACTAGGAATTCCTTCACCTGTTCATTCCTCTCTTCCTTCCAAACATATGTGCTAGTCAACGAAGAGCTTTAGATTTAAACAAAACAAAACAAGACAATTTCCTTCTTGTGAGAAAATAGCAATACAATAGTTTTAATGTAGGGGCAAAGAAGGTGGTCTAATTGTTGACGGCGTTAGGGAGGATTTTACAGACGGCAATACGGGCCTAGAAAACAACAGGATTTACCATGAATACAAGAAAGGGATAGTATTCCAAGCCAAGGGACCAGCATGTGCAGCAGAACAAAAGTCTGAAGAAAACATATCTATGTTTAATATGAATATGAAGGAGAACGGCTCTGGTTTCAGGGTGCCCATGGATGCAGTAGTCGAGAACTCAAAAGAAGCATTGCATTGGGAAAATATGCTGCAAAGGACCTCTTTAAAATGTTTGGAAAAAAGCAAAGATGTCACCTTGAGGACTAAGGTATGCCTACCTCAAGTCATGACATTTTAAATCACCACATACGCATGTGCCACCGCTTGTCCGACAGCTTGTTGTACTGCGGTGGCTTGTGTGGTTTTGTGATTCTACAAGCTATGTCACTGGTAGTTTAAATACTAGCAGAGCCACCTATGCTGGATAGGTTTCAGGGGAGCTTCCAGACTAAAACAGACTAGGAAGGAGAGGCAGACGATTTCTAAATGTTTGCCACTGAAATCCGTATAAAAAGCAGTAGAACATTGTTAGCTATAGTGCCAGAAGATGATCAAAGTCTCAGGTTGGGATGCACTCAGAAGATGATGGGGAAGAACTCTCTACTCAGAGTTGACTGTGATGACGCAAATAGAGTAAAGCTTTCTGGACTTTAATTTGCTGATGAAGAACAACTCAAAATGAGGAGAAACAGCTGTAAACAATCAATAATTAGTACACAGAATGTATGAAGTACGAATCTAGGAAAAATGGACATTGTGAAACTGAAATGTAACACATAACGATCGATGTCCTAGGCATTAGTGAGCAGAAATGGACAGGGATTGGCCATTTTGAATCAGACAATCATATGGTATACTATATACAGGAAAGACAATTCATCAAAAGGGACATTTCAATTTTTTTTTTTGCCGGGAAAAGGCCACGTGGGGAGCCTGTGGCGGAACCCCCGCTGAGCACGTTGGTAGCTTCAGTGGTCGTCGCCCTCTTCCCCGAGGGGTTTTCCCCCAATGCCTCTGCCTCATCCAATCTCCAGTTTCCTCTAAAAATCCATTAATCTCATGGTGCTGGGGTTCTGCTGACCCAAGACAAATGGGTACTTTGTGCAGACGGGCCTGGGGAGGGAGTGGGGCGCTGAGGCCAGTGGCCCGCCCTGCCATGAATGAAGACCTGTACGGCACCCGGTGGGTGCGCTGAGGGCAGGCGCAGCTGGTCCCCACGCAGAGGAACCAGACTTGAAGCCCCCACGCTCCAAACAGCCTGGGGGAGAGCTGGAAACAGCAGCTCAGAAGCTGGGAAACCCTGTTTCGTAAAGCTAATGGGATTTGTTGCAGAAGAATTAACACATTACACTGTTTACCCACCTCCACACCAAGTTTTCACATGGGCCTAGATGTGTGATATAAGAGGTGTGAAGGTTGTTATACTGGGACAGGATCCATATCACCGACAGAACCAAGCTCATTTGTTGTTGTTAAGTGCCTTCGAGTCGGTTCTGACTCATAGCGATGCTGCATAGGGTTTCCGAGGAGCAGCTGGTGTGCTTTGAACATCAACATTGCAGTTCAAACGGCTTTGCAGTCTGGTGCATTAACTCAGCTCCCTCTGCTAAAGACCTGTACTGCCTCAGCCTAGTTTGGAAAACATTTATAAAGAGTTGTCTACAGAGTTAGACGATTCTGTTAATCCTGGCCATGAACATCTGTCTGGGTGGGCCAAAGGAGCACACCATGACGATTCTTACAAGAAAGAGGCTGGGAGCAGCTGTGTCCTGGCTGAATGGTCTCTTCTTCTTACTCTGGGGCTCCTTTTCTTGTAGGCAGTGATTGGAAGAGGCACCTCACCTTGCAGACAACCCACCCGTCCCTGCTGTCAGTGTAGGGGGGTTCTTTGGGTGCAGGCACTTCTCTAAAGCCAATGAGCTACTGCATCAGCTCGGTAAGAAGCTGTGACCCAGGTGGGTGTGACCCAGGTGGGGGTGGCCTCTGAGAGGCTGGTGTGGAGGAATGATTATGCTGGGCAGTTCCTTGTCATTGTTAAGTGCCCTGTGGAATGGTCCTGCTTCCATAGGCTGTCCTCAGTTGGCTGCCCAGGATCAGCAGCTCTTTCCAGTCAGAAATAGAACAGACTGTCCTTATGGCCTTGGTCCCCAAAATGTTGTTCATGGACAAACAGAGACAGTCAAGGCTTCCGCGGGCCTTCATTGGGCCTGAGGGAGGAGAGGGACACCTTTTATTTTACGCACAGGCAAGAGTTTGGGGCTGCTGTTACGGCTTTTTTTTTTTTTTTTTAAGCTGGGAGGTTAGGCTTTAAGTTAGAAGGTATTGGGTGCTTTCATTCAGGATAGCCCCTATGCCCAGCCTGCATTCCAGTATTAACCAGAGACCCTGACCCCATTATATGAAATAAGGACATTTTGCCACTTTTAGGAAATCTGGCCCTTAGGGATCCATTTCCTGACTAGCAGGTGAACATTCCTAAAATTTTGACCAGTGCTAGGCATAACAGATGGGTATTGGCTACGAAAAGTGAGCTGGGGTGTGTGTGTATGTGGAATTGCCATTTTTTTAGTTTTTCTTAGAACTAAATGGTGGAAGTTGGAAAAGAGAACTTTTCCTTTATGGGGGAAATGCTTTTCTTCTGAGTTAACCTTGAGCTGGATTTTTGTATTTTAATAAAAACTTTTTTATTTAGAAAGATACCCTTTCCAAACAAAACTTTTCCAAGTACACACAGGGAGTTATGGGTAGAGGAAGGATTCTGTCCAGCCCCTATCCCATGTGGTTTGGGCAGCAGTAAGGATGTGGGATGACGTCTCTAAAACTAAAAATGGTGTGTGTGAGGGGGGCACAGACTGAGTGAGGAGAGGTGTAAAGCGGCATAGACTGTCAAATTCTACTTTTAATTAACTGAAGTAAGTTTGGAGTATTTTTCCTGTAACTCTGAAGAATTTTTTTTTTTTAAATATGTCTTTTAACATGTTTGTTAAACAGACCATCCTTATTAAGTCTCCACCTTGCTGGTAACTGGATGAAAACATTCATTCTGTGTGTGAGTTTGGTAATAAAGTATTGCTGCACTTTTAAAAATAAAGTGCATTTCAAAATCTTGAAATATAATGCTGTGGTAGGATAATATCCATACACCTACAAGGAAGACCAGTTAATACCACTACACCAATCACAAAAGCCAGTAATGATGAACTTGAAGATTTCTACCAACTTTTTAAGTCTGAAATTGATGAAACGTGCAATCAAGTTGCATTGGTAATTACTGGTGATTGGTCTGCGGAGGTTGGAAATAAATGGAAAGATCAGTAGTTGGAAAATTTGGCCTTGGTAATAGAAATTATGCTGGATATTGCATGACAGAACTTTGCAATCTCCAGCATCATCTCTATTACTCCTGCACTGTATATACCTTTTTAAAACAACCTAAAAGACTATGCACATGGACTTCACCAGATGGAACACACAGGAATCAACTTGACGATGTCTGTGGAAAGAGATGGTGGAAAAGCTCATTATCATCAACCGAAACAAGAGCAGGGGCAGATCACTAATTGCTCATATACAAATTCAAGTTAAAGCTGAAAATAATTATAACAAGTCAACAGCAGCCAAACTATGACGTCAAACATATCCCATCTGAATTTAAAGACCATCTCAAGAAGAGATCTGATGGAGAAAAAGAAAGAAAGAAAGAAAGAAAAGAACAGATCTGATGGATTAGACACCAATGGCTGAGCACCAGAAGAGCTGTGGGATGACATCAAGAACATCCTACAGGAAGAATGCAAAAGGGCATTAAAAAGACAGGAATGAAAGAAAAGATCAAAATAGATGTCAAAGGAGAGTGTGAAGTTTGCTCTCCAGTACAGAAATGTTAAAGTGAATGGAAGAAATGAGGAAGTAAAAGAACTAAACTGAACAGAAAAATTTAAAGGGCATCTCAGGGAAGACAAAGTCAAGTATAATGAAATGCGCGAAGACCTGGAGCTAGA